CCACGTGTCCGGGCGGAAAAATGGCCGTACCCCGAGGCGGAGTTCGCACATCGAGGGAAATTTTTGCGGCCGGAGCTGGTCGTAACCCGAAAAGTTCATTAGTAGAGGCGTTCGTATCCCGAGGTACCACTGTATTAGAATAACCACTTCTATCTCTTCCAGTTTGCTTCAAGGTTTTTGACATTGATCGAGACGGGATTTTGTCTCAGGTTGAACTTGAAGAAATGGTTGTTGCCCTTTTGGAGGTTTGGAAAGATAATCGTATTGATAACATTCCAGTAAGTTGCATTCAAAATTAATGGCCTCTCCCCCCTGTCTTTGTGTTTGTATGTGTTTAAATACAGGTAGTCCTTGTTTAGCAGCCACAATTGGGACCAGCAACTTGGTCGTTAAGCAAAGCGGTCACTAAGTGAAACTGCGACTGTGCTTATGATCTTACTTCAGCTTTCCTTTGCTTCACAGACCTGTGAAGATCATAAATGCGAGGATTGGTTGTAAAGTGGCTTTTTCATCACCATTGTCACTGCAAGTAGTTGCTAAACAAGGCAGTCACTAAACAAGGACTACCTGTATTGGGGTTTATGAAAAAGAAATACACTTTTCTCAGCTGAATTTTATTTTAAGTCATAGATCCATTGGATTGGACAGGGCAGTTGAGGATCCTCAAAGCTGGTCTTCTGCTGAGTGCTTTGTAGGTGGAAAGCCATGTTAGTCTACAGTAGCCAAAAATCAGAAGGAGTCAGTCTCTTGCTGAGTACTGAAATTGAAAGTAAAGTAGCCTTGGCTTCTGCTTGACCACCTTGCTAGGTTGGATTTTTCATGCTAATCCCTCAATGGTTTAACTTGCACACTGTTTTAAAATATGCCACTTTTACTAATGATTGACAGAACTTTGATCAGAAACTGACTTTCACATTCTGTAAACTGACTGATTATACAGAAGAGTCACAAAATCAGACAAAATAGCTTGAATCCAGAATGATCGTGCATGGAGCGGACCAGCTAAAATCAGTGGGACAAGTCACTTGCTACTAATTTAAAGTTCATTGATTTTAGTGGATCTGCTCTGCATGGATTCAGTGTAGACCAAAATAACTCTCAAAATAGTGTTTGTAGCTGTTATGGGATCTTTCTGTTCTCCTCTTTTCCAAGGAGTTGCACATGAATTTGCCTGATATTGTAGAAGATATTCTAAACTCACACGATACCACCAAGGTAAGAAAGCACATTTGCATCTTATTGTCTCTTATTGCATAACGAGAAATCAACACAGAAATAGCTTCAAGAAACTGAAATGGCCTCTGAGTTGGACAGTAGTGAGGCTGACTCAAGCTGGTGAGTTAACTAGTGCGTGGAAAGTTTATTTACTGTGAAATTGATCTGCATGGTATCATATGCAGAAAAAAGCTGGAGAGAATAAAAAGCATAAAAAGAAATCATTTCTTTACTTTCATTTATTAGACATTACATATATAGTGGCAGAAATCCACTGAACTAATGAATGTAATTACACTTGCTGTTTACAGTTATAGTAAAATTATAGAACAAATATATTTTTTAATTGGTCCGTTCCTTCTGCTAGGCTTTCATTGTTCAGCTACATTCTCCTAAGCTCCTGAATATGAGAAGGGAGAGCTATTATTTTAAAGATATTAAAGTATCAGAACATCCCCCCTTTTTATTCTATTATTTTTCACAGCTTCAGATGATAGTCAGCTAGTTACCTTGTTCTGGCTATTATATCAAGTACCTCTAGAAAACTACCAAAAAATATCAGTAAAAACAGTACCCCTGAAACTCACCACCACCCAAAGAATCTAATCCTGTCCATAGCTCAATGGGACTTGTCTTCAATGTGACGGTAAACCTATGTAAAACCTGTTTAACTGCCATTGTGCCCAGCCAGAAAAACCGGAGTGGATAGTTTCAGGAAGGTTCAAATGAAAATCAAGATTATTGAGAGTAGTTGCAAATCTGTTGTTCTCCAGGGAAATCATGCCTATTAATTGATCAAACCAGCTTCAAATCTACACATAGGACATTTGATTCTTGGTCAAAACCTTTCTTGATAAAACAACACTTTATTTTCCTTAAAATATCCATATTAGTTTGCATGGGAGAGATGATGTGTGTGTGAGAGAGAGAGAGAGAGAGAGAGAGAGAAACCATTGAGCAAACACTTTGGAAAAAACCCTCATTGATTCTCTTTGCCTCCTTCTTGTTTCAGCTTGGTCATCTCACCCTTGAGGATTATCAGATCTGGAGTGTGAAGAGTGCTCTTGCCAATGAATTTCTGAATCTGCTTTTTCAGGTATGTTTCCTGCAGGCTGAAACCTCCAGTGGAAGGCAAGTCTTGGATTTGCCCGCATGCTTGGCAGTCATGGATTGCTGAATGCCACATCAGCTCTTGGAATTGCATTCCTGAGAAATTTGTAAAATAAAGATGACATGGTGTAATATGTCATGTGTTGTTGTTCATCTGAGGTTGTATTTACCTACT